GATTAGAAAAAAACACAGAATATGAACCGAAGATTTTTTTTTAATAATTTAATCATCAAAATCTACCACGTGAACGAATATTGCGATCAGAATAATTCTGGTGTAACACGAAAATTGGCGGTTGTCTCGGGTACACTTTAGCGGTCTTGCTTAACCAGAAACAAACGAAACGATCGGGGTCGTTCGGTCTGCAGATGGTGGGAAACTGTGAAAAGCGCGAAGCTTAGCTAGATGAAACTATGTTAACGCGGGTCAGGGAAAGGAGGAAGGAACAATTTCGTCGCGATTCCAGCGTCCGCTTCAATTAGCTTTTATCCTACAATATGGGACGGTGATCGCGGCTGCGAAGCCACGCTAGGATAAAGGCTGCTCAGCAACCTTGATTGGAGCAAGGGAAGGAAAAAAGGAAGAGGAAAGAAAGAATTAGCCGTGTAACTTTATCAGCACGGAACAAAAGCTGGATTCCCTGTTGGATATGAACGGTGGGGGAAACATAATGTTTCGAGCGCAACGTTGTGTGTCTAACAGTTACCCTGGTGGTCGCCCGAGGGGAATTACACTACATACGTACGTAGTACGTGTATTTCACACATTCGGGATGTTTGTAAATTACGCGAGGTGTTCTTGGCAAAAGGAGTTTCGTGTTTCTCTTACCGGCTACATCCTCCAGCGTCGATTTCTCGCCACAGCTGATAAAATGAGGATAGAAGGATACCATAACTATACCATCGGTCTGCGCCTGAAACAAGAAACGTGGGAGCTTAGTACGTAACTCGCCTTCTATCGTGATGTTTAACGCCTTCACGGTTTCAATTCCGCTGGGGCGCTTGGCGGGTACAAAATGTATTTCCATGTGCCAGGCATTTACTCTATTTACTATATCATAATTCGCAATAACGCCCCTAGAAATTATTAATGCTATAAAAGTACTGGCGAATGACAGATTATTATAAGAATATAATATAAGAACGTGAATTCAATGGACTATCGGTCTGAATCTACATATTCGATAGATACAGTACTTTCTGTGATTAGCCGACTTACCAAGCGTCGTAGCGCATGATCAGGCACGTTTCGTGAGGAATTGCAAAGGGCGTGGGCACTGCTGTGGCTGAAAATGACTGGAGCCCTCGACGTCTTCATGGCAACCAACATCGTAGGCACGGACACGTGGGAGAGATCCACCATCATTCCGAGCCGATTCATCTCGAGGACGATAGTCTGGAAGGACGTTTGAGAGGATAATTGGTCGGCTCAGTTTCTGGTATCGCGAGGAACGAATTTTTTCGCTCTCTTATTCTCTGATAATGGTACTCGAGTAGCATTTTGTACCGAAGTAGTTCCAAAGATATCTGAGGAACGCAACGGCACGGCATTAAAATCGATCGGGCAATTTCGCGGATTTGCCGACTGCTTTCAGACTCGGAAAGCCCGGATTAACGTGGCTTAAAGCCTCGCCTGAGACGAGCCTGTTAATCGAAACGGAAGAATAGTTAGAACAATAGAGGGACGGAACATTAACCGAGCTTTAAGGAGATAATTTGCGTTTTTATGTAGCCGATACAAGGAGATTAGCCCGAAGGGATTCGATGAAGTACTATCCAAGATCCTAGATTCCGGGGAATCTGAATTTTTTTCCAGACGGGGAACGACGTCACCTACTTCGCAGCGTTCTCACGTGTGAATCGTGACAGTTATTGCAGCAGCCCTTCGATCGGATTGAAATTCACGACAGACGGTTCCTTAGACACTTTGTTTGCGAGGAATTTCAATCCGGAGACGTGGAACGCGAGATTCAACGGTTGATACTTGCCGAATCTACGACACGTTTGTACTCCGCATTCCACTCGCGTTTCAGTTATTCTACTTATCCCACGCTTTGACAGCACGACCGAATCACGGTTCGAATCCCGTCTAATAACTGCATCCGCGGCAGCGTAACAAGGGTTTGGCGAAAAATTTTTTCGAATCGGAATTCAGCCGAGTTCCCAATAGGTTTCTGTCGAAAAAATTCTACTGTCACGCCAGAAATATCGTTTTTGATATTTGACGTCAGACTACGGCCGCTAATACAAAATTCCATTTTCGCGGCTGACGTTTGTCAACATCGGTAAAAAAAGGATATCGATGATTTGATTTCTTCCCGTGCTCATTCATACGGCCATCTTTCTTCGCGCGAATGATCGTTGCTTTCGTTTCTGCGCGCTCTTCCATATATATACACGATACAAATAAAATACAGGGGAACTAGCACGGGATCGATAAACACCGAAAGATTATGGAGGTCGGGGCCTCCTCTCATTGACGATCGGGGAATACAACGTCGGGCGAGAGCAATTCATTCTCGTCACAGTGAAACTGACTTATCGTTCGCATTCCAACAACGTTTCCCGTTTGCCTTTCCGGGGTTATGTCTCGTCCATAAAACAAGAATGCTTCGTTAAATTAGCGCTCTGTCCTGGACCAAATCTTTCGATATTTCTGTTTATTTCGTTTGTCGTTCCTCTCAAAATTCATTCTTTATTTTCCGTTTTGTTTGCCGTCATTGAAATAGAATATCAGGTATCCTTTCGTTATTCACCTCGTTAAAGCAACAATGAAAAAAGATCAGTCATAATTTTCTTAGTTGACACGCAGGATTTCGTCGCATTTATCGAAGGAGTAGCAGGTGCAATGAAATCATAGTTTGTACTCGAGGGAAAATCGGCGAGGAATGAATCTATTGTTAACTGCACAGACTATTCCCTGGAATTAGCCTAGTAGCAATATCTTTCGCTTGCACTGATCGTTGTAGACACGTGGGAGAGTTATCTCATGAATCAAGAGGATTGCTCCGTGCGATCGCGTGTTGCTTTAAACGCGGACGTTTCATTAAATTAACAACGCTATAAACTTCTCTGCTCTTCTGTGATTGTTTCTCCCGTTCCGCGAGACACTCCGGCCTGATGTTCGTGCATATAGTTTCTTAATCTGGATAGTACGCGAAATCTCGCTCAGCGTCTTTCTTCCGGTTCCCGACGCCGAGAATCTCAGCCCTCGACGGAAACGACGTTACATCCGCCAGGCTAAGAGCAATCGCGACGTTTCATCGTGGAACATAGGACAGAATCCTGTGCTTTTAAAACGCGCAAAAGCGATAGATGATAGAGGCATTCTTATTTTACGACGGGAAATACGAATCCCTTAATTGTATGTATCGTTGAATCGTGAAGAAATTTTAAGAGCTAGTAATAGAATTTTCACATGGTAAGGATTTCATTTAAGAATTTCTCGGTTGTCCTTTACAAGGAGAGAGGATGAAAGGAACAAGAGGACGCTAAGCGTTTCGCGAAAATATAAAAGAGGGAGCACGTGCGGTTGACGCACGATAGGGTGATATTCACTGGAAAAACGACGAGTTCATAAAAGCCGTTGGATCTTCTGAGAGCTCCGTTCACTCAGTTTCCTTTCGTTCTTTTACCGATTTATCAGCCAATCTTGTTTGATTCTTCTGATAACTGAACTGCTATTATTATTCTAATTATTAAGGAATCATGTCATTTTTCCTCGATGTTCCATAAGTGATAATTTTACTGTCTACTACTGCGCTTTATCATCGTGCAAAAGGACATATAGGGGATGAAAAGTAATGGCAGGGATCCTTCGCAGAGAAAGTTAGACGAAGGTCACTGACTCCGTTTTTTATGATACACTCACCCAGGGCGATTCATTTCTTCGAAGTATAAGTCAGGACGAGCCAGTTATATTTTTTCCATCCTGTCCATTGAAAAAATCTACCCCTCGTGAATCTTGAGGTTAAGGCAGGGTAACATCCCGTAAGTCCGACAGTATGACGAATAGCTCTTCATTCTTCCGTTGGTCTCTTGGAAAGATACTTAGTCCTTTAATGTCGCAGCTGCTTCACCCTCTTCTTTATTAGTTCTGAAGACCATCGCTTTCTCCCGTGATAACACGAAATTTCGCTGGTTTCCGATAGCAAAACATCGAAAGATTTTCCCTTGAACATTTTCCCAGTTTCGAAAAACTGGCGCGGATCAGATGTTTCAAGAAGAAACTATTCTTTGTTTAAAAGTTCAGCAGCACCAACAGATGGACCGAACGTATAAAACTACATCTGACATAAGAGAAAGTTATTGCTCCCGTTTCATTTTTTATCGCAGTTAGAAAGATTGATACTTTTGATCGAGGGATCGCGAAGCATCGTCGTTGGTTATCTCATTCTTTCTGGACCGTGAAACTTCTTCCCGTTGACGCGTCTGTTTGTTGCCGGCTGCTGGCGTTATCGCCGGCCAAGCAACTTCTGTTGCGAAACTGTCGATGCCCGCGTCCGCCAGTTTAGATGAGAAGTTTCCGAAACAAACAGGCAGCTGCCCTCAAAAGGGTGGATGGTCATTCTGCGGACCGCCTTCGAAAACTTGTCGGTCAGAGCGTCGTGAACTTGCGAGGTTGTGATTTGCTCAACGTCCCGTAACATCTTCCACGGGTCAACGAGCGATCACGATTCTCTCGCAAGATCGCGCCGGGTACTTAGACCTCGCCAAAAGACCGATTTAGAGCCAACATTTCTGTGAATTTTCATCCGTTTCTGTTAACGTTAAATCACGTCGAATTCGTCGAGTATGTCTGCAATTCGGGGAACGAGGAGCTGAGACGGTGAAACGATCGGAAGAAAGCCGAGACGAGTGAATCGCGGACGTCGAAATGAAAATCGATTTCGCGATTATGTTTGTCGAGGAGAGGCGAGGGGGCGGGAAGCGAAGAAGTTAATAGAGGGACCGCTGTTGGAAAGTTGAGCGTCGTTGATGAGATGGTCTATAGATTCTCGAAATTAAGATCGGGATCGAGGGTGGAATGATAATGCAGTTTTAAAGACTCTTCATGGGATAGAGCAACGAGGTAATGGTTAGCGCACACTCGGAAACTTCATGTAATTAGGGAAGAGAATGGCTGAACGGGACGATGAAATATTAATAAGTACAACAGCAAACTCGTCAGTGAGAAATTCCCCATGCACGTTCTCGACTTCTATCGCGAGTTAAGTGTAACGTCGTTGTTGCAGTTAATGATTCGTTGACAAACGCTTCGAGAAACGCTTCTCATTAAAAAACTATCACTCTTTACGCGTGTACTCCACTCTGCCCGTTCCTTCCTCCTTCGACGATATTGCCCTATTGTCACGCGCGAAGTTTGCACAGTGGAACATGATAAATCATGCTTTTTCCAGTTCTCCCCTTTCTTTTGTTCCGTTTATTATAGCCTCCCTCACCTTGGTTGAACACCCAACGGATGATTAATCACCGAAGCAAATAATTAATCAGTTTCTAAATATTGTAAGAACGACTTCCTTAATTCATCCTTGAACCCGAGTCTAATTCGCGAGTGAAATACATTTTGTACGATGCAATTTCTACTGTAGAATTCAATAAAATTGAAACTGGAGTGCACGGTGTAAATTCGTCTTGAGTGCACTCTCTCTCTACTTCGGCATCGGTGTCCGTGCCGTAATAACTCTTTGAAACGGGGTAGCACGGCGTTAAGATGGAATTACACGATTCTGGTGGTACGTTCTTCTGAAAATGCAACTTGACGACTCCTCTTTCTTCCTCGCTTCCAACCAGTCCTGCAAACGGACTATCAGCCGAACGCGTCGGCCCGAGACCGAACACGTTCTCAGCGTCGCTGGGATCAGACACGTATCGATACGAATCGATTAATTATCCGGTTTGAGAAACGCGGCTCTGAAATTGGTGCGTTGCGGCCGCGTTTATCAAGGGCACTTCCTCCCGTTCGTGTACTCGAGAGAACGGAGACCGCGAAATGTTTCCCTCGAGCGAGCAGCAAGTCCCGGTTGTAATTGCTGCGCCCGAATTATGTTTTCTTGAATTTGCCACGACTTCCGACCACGGGGTGTTTTCATTGTTTCGAAACCGACGTCTCGCTGGAGTTACTTCCAGCTTCATCGAGGTCGGACGGGATACACTAACTGTCCTCTTCACAGAAATTCATGTTTGCACTTGAACTCGAGCTTGCGGTTAGAAATATAGAGTCGGGCAGACCGGGCAGGTCGGTCGGTGTTCTCCGTTGGTCGTTTGGACGAGTTCGTTCAACGAGACCAAACAATTACGGAAGTGAGTCTCCTCCACCTCGGTATTTCTTTCGCGATGCCCTACATCGACGAACAATCGGTAGACGTCTTCGTAGAGAGTGTTTACATTACTTTCGGGTACAATCATGATTTAACACGAACAAGTAAACTCGACCCGTTCGGTTCTCGACAAAAGGGATGCCTCTTTTTCTCTCTTTGAAACCATTATTTTCCCTCTAATAAAGAAGTAGTTACGTCACAGTTGAGCAGATTGCCCCTTTGAACGCGGTAATGCGATAAACGAAAGGTGGTCGGAACAAAAGTACATATTTTTCAGAATCACCGAGAAAAGCAGCTTTCACGGCGGGCGGTATTGGTTTTCTACGCGATTCGACCTTATTGATTCTCAAAGTGATACTCTCTGTCTCACGTAATTCTATATGTAACAAATTGATGCATATGAACCCAATTTATTCCCCTTTGAATATTCCAGTTGAAAATTATTCGTCCCGTTCCATCCTGCATTGTTCCGAATCAAAAGATGAAACGAGCGAATGATAAGCAAAATTGCAACTTCATTAGAATATATTATAATACTATTAACCAGTACGATGATTTCGTAGAAATCAGTTTAAGCTTGGAATTCAATTATAAAAGTAAGCGAAGATAAATTGGATAGCATTGAAATGAGTTACTCGGAACCATCAAGATACAAACGTAGCATACGAGAGATTTTGGAGTTCACGTTTAGAATTTAGGAAATAGAATTTGCGAAAGTAATTGACAAATTATCTGCATGGAACGCATGATGTTCTATAAGAAATCCGATGTATCTGCGGAAAACGACGTCGCACGTGCGCGAACCTAATATTCAGGTTGTACGATCTACTTTATTTCAATCTTCTTGCCATCGTGATCGTTGTCGTCGTTCCGAGAGTATGTATCGTTTTCCAAGATGCTCGGCGGGTTCGTTCGATGATGCGGAAGAAAGCAGCGAGCGCGATGAAATGGTGGAACCATGCGAACGTCTACTATGATTTTTCATCCCCGCAGTTTCCCTCGCGACGAATCGCGTTTTCCTCGTCGAATTACCACATATAGGTATGTAGAACGTCGCCTCAGAGCTGTGAAATCGGAGAAAGGAGGCTAGGAGGCTCCGCGAAATAAAGACGGTTAACGGGAAAGAAGCAGTCGGCGAGGGGAGAAAAAGTATCCACCTGGGTATATCTCCTCTTCTCCTTTTTCCGGCGAGACCACGCGGAATTTTTATTAAGCACTTGAGGGAGCTGTTTATTACGCAGGTGTGGGTGAGAAATGGTGTTACCGGCGAATAAGGTAGATATAAAAGAAAAGTAGTGGATCGTATATAAACGTCTCCGTGCGCAGATGATGTCACGTGGAAAAAGGGCTGATCCTAGGAGGTTGGACATGTACATTCTCGGGAATTCATGTAAAATGTAAAGTGTTTAATGCTTCTTGCAGGTCCGTTTTCTGCCTCGCGAGATAAATACTTACAGTTCTTAACTTCGTACAAATTACGTTTCTCCGGTTTTACATTTCCTTTCAATTGTTTTAAATAATGAAACACCGTGTTGAATAACGAAATGTAAGAGGCATTGGTGGAATCGTTAGACCAACTAGTAGAGTTACGACAATAAGTACATCTTTTGTTGAAACATTTTTGTGAATTTTTGTGGATCTCATGTGGTTCTCATGAAGAGGGAGATTATATGGAATCCTGAGAAATTTGTCGTATGCGTAACGATAGGAGAGCGAGGTAACTCGAGGAAATCGAGAGAAAAGGTTTTGACAGAAGAAGGGGAAATAATGATTCAGAAAAGCGAGCAGCGTTTGATTCCAGTTATGCGAACGAAACAAACGATTCGACCGGGGGCTTAACAAAGCCAAAGAAATCGCAGAAAATGTAAGCGACCTCGTTGAATATTTAAAGGTCGCCTTTTCTCTCTTATCTTCCGCTTTTTATTCCATCCCAACTGTAGAACTTTCTCTTGACTTAAGTCGAGACCGCGGTTTCTGAGTAGTTTCTCATACAATTCACTTTTTTCGTTCTATTTCACATCTTTCTCTCTTTTTGGTCTTTTCCATTCGTGAAACAGCCCGAGGGACGTCAACTGTTGTCCCGGCGGTTACGGAGGGCAGAATTGCAATAAATACTTGACACGGTATATTTTCGCGGCGTGACTTATGAACATCCTCCGTGACTTCTCTCCATGTCGCAAGGACGATGCCCGACGATCCACTTAACGCTCGGAAAAACGCGACTCGTTTCCACGAAAATAATTAGATCGCGGTGAAATTGACTAAGTGCCAGGATCGCGACGCTTAACACGAGAATAATATTTTATTTCGGATCTTTCGGTTTCTTGCCCGGCCGGTCACGTTCCCGGTTTGTATCGCGGTCGTAGGGACCCAAAGTCGTTTCTCATATCTCTCCCTCGTCGCTGGAAAACATCCCTCTGGTACTGTCTGTCGTTTTTCTGACATTCCGTAAATAGAGCTCGCCGCAGTGTACTCATGCAACTTTAGCGTAAGCTGGTAAAAGAAGCATAGACTCGAGGTAAACTCTTAATCATTCCGAGAATAATATCGTTACGTGACATCGTTTAAACGGTCTGGAGCAAAACTGCAGGTACGCGTCAAACGCGAAGCGAAAGAGTGGAAAGTAGTTGCCTTTGCGGGCGATCTCACAGCGAAGGCAATTTGGAAATTATTTTTCATACATTTTTGAATACGGATGACACCCTTGGGAGCGCTTACTCCATTTTTAAACGACCACTCACTTTCGAGAATATTCTATGAGTTGTACGTCACGTCAAGCTATTCCTTACTATACCTTATTCTCTCTAGGAAACGCGCTGCCTCTTCGCGTTTACTTCGGCGAATCATGGTTCCGCGAACGACGTTCGAGAAGAACGCGTGCAAGTGCAAATTTCCTCGAGTCTGTTCCGGGTCGCTCTTTGGAAACGGAACTTTACCTACCATTCGTGGTATGCGCGCTTAAAATGCGAACGATTGTAGCCCCGCGGCTGATCGATGCGGCCCATAATTTTCTTTCGCATACATATATCGAGGCAACGTTCGCCCAGGAATTCATGAATACCGCGAATTCCGGCAGGTAATTTTCATAAATAACTCGCGTTTCAATCCGTCCTCCGAATTTCGAAATCTTTTTTCCTTTTCCCATAAGCTCTGAGTATTTCGAAGATTCCTTCGCCAGATCTATCTTTCAACTCTCGTTGTATTCGTGGACGCGATGGTCCATCGATCTGATAGGGGTTAAAGGGTAGGCGGTGGATTTACGATCGGGCTCCGTCCGAAACGATCCGAGGGAATGAAAAGCTTCCTCTCGTAACGCGACGCGCGACCAACCGGATAGACAGGTACAGGATGTTTTAATCCGGTGCACAAAACACCGCAGGTTTCCTTGTCATTCGAGGAAATCCTTCTAACTAGAAGAAGCTTCCCGTTTGTTCTTTCTCTGTCTACTTACCTCCTCCGTTCTATAAAAGCCGATTTAACTTATTTAACTCGGAGTAAATATTTGTACATTCGTTCCTGCTGAATAATTTCCGTTAACGAAAGCCAAAGTTACTCATTTAATAAGAAGTTCAATTATCAGATGTTAAACTTTCCGTAACATTCTTCACAAATTACTTATTACTGTGGCACAGGATCAGCTACATTTTTTTTTACATAAGTTAATGAGCTTGAGAACGGTGAAGTTAAAAAAAGCAAGTTCAATTATCAGACGTTGAACTGCCCATAAACTTGTTCACGAGTTATTACTTACTTATGACAAGAAAAAAAGGAATGTCCAGACAGACAGATTTCATAGTCACCTCCACGTTTTTAAATAGAAGCGTTATTATTATTAATTCCGTCATCTATTTATGTTTTGACGTAATTTTTGAAATAGAATTTACTGCAAATTGTTTCGAATTTCTGATAAGTTAATTTCTACGTCTCATGACGATCATGAAAGTCTACGTGGGTGAAGTCTCTTCTGTTCTTGGATATTTATTTTGAGGGATGGTGTTTGCCTAGACGGTAAATAACAAAAAGTTCGTATTTTACTCACCTTGCCGAAATTGGAGAGACCACCGATGCGAGCTACTTGACCGGGTTCATCCGCTGTGCTGCATTCTGCCCTAACGAACCAATAGGTCAGTAATTCAATAGTAACAATCCTCAGCATTACTGTCGTACAATGCTCTCTAATCATAGAGTTCCACGTTCGTAATACTAAGCAATCCCCGCTTCGCGGTCCACAGAATTGTTCGTGAACCTAATGATCCCACGGAGATTGTACGTCCGCATCGTATACAAACGTCTTGATTCGGAGTGCGGATACCGGACGAATATATCCAATCCGGCTCACTGTCGAGACGTGCCCCGAGTTCGAAAATAAGATTAAACATTATAAGTCCCTGTCCACCCTGATTAAATACCTACTACTATTCTGCCAGGCTTGTTAGACAAAACGTGGTTTCCACAGTATCGTCGCTTTCAACTGTTTGACAAGCTGTAATTAATCAAGTTGTGTATCTATTGCACCTGCATTATATCATTACTTTGCATCAAGCTTTGCACTTATACTTAACGAATGTATTGATGTGTGAAGACGAGACGAAAGAATAATATGATACAAGTGGATGCACGCTTTTCAAGATTTCGTATATAACGCGTTGAAGTCGCAGAATGTAGAATTGAAATTGGCAAGAAGCGGAGTGATACGATCCTTGGAACGTGTCCTGTGCGCGAGAATAAGATCAAGTGAAACATCGTACCTAGCGGTAAATCTCTGTCCGCGATGGGATTAATTACTATTATCCTGACGAATTTGCGGAGGACGATAACGCTGCCGGACAGATTCGTAAACATCTCTCACGTTGATAGGATTACGGAGAGAGACGCCGACTAGCACGAAACATTGCGTCGAGCTTCGAGGAGTCCGCTGCAATTTCGGGGCGATAATCGTCCGTATTAGCGCGATTCTCTCTAAGCTGGCAAACAGAACGATGATACGACGATTCTAACCGACGCAACGTAACACCAAGTGTGCGTTTAGAACAAACGAAAAACGCAGAACACCTCCATCTGTCTATGCTAAATCGTTCTCGTGTGAAAAAAAATTTAGTCTCAATTTAACAATTTGGAATACTAAATTTATTGGCATAAAACGTTTACGCTATCAACTGCCACCGTTTCTCTTACAAGATTTATTACGTTGTCTGATGATTAGGAATGATTTTTTAAATTATCAGAATATTGCAGCTTATTTGCATAAGTAAATTGTATAAGAAAGTTATGATAATTGAAAACGTTGAAGAAGCACAAGCATTCGGTTGTTTCATCTGATCATACCTTAAACCGCAAATCAAATCGAGAGAACGAATGTCGCGATCACTTTGCATTTTCCCTTGGCGATTCGAGCACAGTGATTGGTGTGTCTGGTCGTTTTAACCAGTAGCGAGCTGGCCACCAGTTGAAGCGTCCTTTCGCATAGGTATTTATCAACGTATCGGCCGGAATCTATCGGAATCGTAAAACGCACGGTCGATACCGGAAATTCCGAAGCGCCCAGATAATATTGTTACGGTTCCATTAATCCGCGCATGATTCATCGTTCCGCTACGGCGCGGCGGCGTTACGTAATACCACGTATAAATAAAGGTGTCGGGCTTTGCCGATGTTATAAATTTCGCGAACGAAAGGTAAAATCGTCGATCATCTCGCACGGGACGTCCTATGCTTTTTCATCGGCGTGCGTACGCTCGTCGCGTCCCTCTGCTAGGCTGTTTTACGTTCGAGCACCGTGGAATTAGTATAACGTGATGCCTATACATCGCGCGAGTCAGTCGCAAAGTTTAACTCCAGCTATTAAACCCTTTCCCGCTGGTAAAAGCCCGGCATGTATTTCGCATTCACCGCGCTGTTTACTAAGCGAGACAATAATCGTTTGGCAAAACTTTCATTCGTGTTAATTATCTTTTGTCTTAAGATACGGTAATTAAAACCGAGTAATTGTAAAAGTTATTCGCTAACTTACGGGGGACTTATAGTTACAAAGCGTCCGTAAATCGTGGAAGTTGTTATAGCTGCGACATATTTAGAGGGGAGGTTCAGAATTGTTCAAATTTCGTTCGGAATTAAATTGTTTGATCTCGTGCGGCTAGCCGCGATCTCTGCTCAACCGTTTCCGTTATAATGTCGCATAACAATTTTCATTTTACAACCTATGTGTAAAATAAATTTGAACTTCATTTCCCGGGGAAACGCGTCTCTCGCAAAAAACTGTCGAGCCACGTCGCTCGGTTGGAAACTTTTTTTTATTGTCTCGTAACCAGTTCTGTGCATCGTCCGTTTCTTCCTGACACCTAGACGCGCGGTCATTGCACCCTGCGCCACCTCGTAAAAGTAAATTCATCTACTGTTTGTCCCGGAATAATATTTCCGCCGACACCCGCAGCTGGGTCGCCGCGTTCCCAACCCTTGCCTTACGTAATCCCGAATCTCTCAATTGGGAAACATCAAACTGAAACAAGCGGCGCGAACTTCGATCGCGCTGTCAGAACAGCTTTGTCACAGGAAATACCGATACGCGTTGAAATTTGAGTCGTTCGCTGGTCCGGACACGTCCCGACACAACCTCCGTTTTGTCGAGAATTTTTAAGAGCCGCTACATGAACTAAGTAATACACACCCAGGCTTTTCTAGTGTTTGAATTTAAAATTTGGTTGCAACGCGTTCATAGCGAGTTTAACAATTTCGTTTGCTGTCAAAGCCCGGGGTTCGTACAAAATGACTCGGTCATAGAAAATGTCGATACACGCTCGAATTTAATTGATTTTTCTGGTTCAAACCCGTACAAAATACAGTACGTCAGAGATTATTAAATTCCCTAAACAATAGACGATCGCTGACCCTTTAGTAATTGAACGTTTATCGGCGAGGCGGAAATTCCGAAATTTTGAATGGCTAATATTGCTGCCAGTAAATACCTGCACCGGTTCTGAGACCGTTTCGTTCGAGCAGCGAGGCGTGGTTCAAATTTATTGTGCGTGCAAAAGCGCACGTCGCGAAAGTTTCGCCTCGTATCTCGCGCTTCTCCTTTAACTGCGCCCATTTATGGCACATTTTTGCCGTTGCCACAATAAAACTCTGTTCTCGCATTCGTGGGACTCCCGTTCACCAACTATCTGCCGAGTGTCTTTTAGTTCCGCGGTTTCGCTAACTCGCACGTTGTTGTTTGTTCGCGAAGCTCTCGAATGTGAATCCCGTCACGCCCGAGTGATATTTCCGTTGGCTGTTAAATCGTTACGAAGAATCTCGATGATTGATGCGCGGACGATAACGCATTATGATGAATTGCCGTCGACAATGCTCTTTGTACGTGTTTACACAGCGCGCGTCACGCGACGATCGCGAAAATCATTTAACGCCTGCCTGAATTATTACCCTGCTTTAAATTATATTTCCGTGGAGCTTTTTGATTAGAGTTCAATGACCCTTTGATTTCCGACTTTCCATCGATACTTCTTTATGAGAAATAAAAAAGTTATACTTATTTTCTTGCGATTTTCCCTAAAGGAAAATTAGGGAAATTGACTCGCAAGGTCATCTCGTGGATCGTCTCGTCTCGAAAGTACGTCGAAATCAGAGGGTTAAAAGTCTATAGGCAAACGACGCGACGTCTCGATTGGTGTACTCACCAAGGCGTGTTGCACGTGTGCGTGAGGGTGAGATATCTGGCGCCCAACTCGTACAACATCCTCAGAACAGCCAGGCTCGTCCCGACCGCGTGACCCCCTTCGACCCCTATCAGGCTCGCTAATCTACCCTCCTTGTGCGCTCTCTCTATACCTGAAATCACACGTTAAATCTCGCTTGAAACATCCTCGATTGCCGGCGTTATTATTATTGTCTTAATTATCTCCGGCGTAGATATCCGAGCAGCTCCAACTTCCTTATCACCTCGAGCACCGTTATTCGGTTAATTATTACGGCCCCGAGTTATACGTCACGTATAAATTCTCGGGTTTCGAGACACGTCGACTTCGATGCGCTCGATTCATTAAAGTTATCTATCATCTTCGATCGCCGGTTTAATTGAATCATTTAAATTGGCCCTCGTTGTCGACGATTATCAGTCTGATCATTAATTATCGGACCGTGAACGAGGTTTGATTAATCTCGAGCGGAGAATAATGGAAGCGCGAGACTTTAGGGGAACGAATACTTCTTGCCGCCGGTATTTTGTCAGCATTTAGTCAGCCGGCGTTAGACTGAATTCGATTCCCGGCCCCCGGCGTAATCGCTTTAATCGAGCCCAGCTTGTGTAAGGGCGAGGTTATCGGTCTCGCCGGAATCGGATTCGCGGGCTCGGTGTCGTTTCGATTCGATTAAAATACCACGAACAAATTACGTTAGGTCGCTGCTTCCGGGGTTACTCGTCGGGAACGCCCGGACGTTGTGTCCCCGCGTGGCAGCCGACCGGTCAACCCCCGCGGTGTTCACCCTCGATACGCTATTTGTCGCTGGGAGCTCGAACTTTTCCGCTTTCGACCACACGCGATGAAGCTTTCGGATTCCCGCTAATGGAAGGCTCGCCCTGTGGCCAGACGAATTTATTCGTCCGTACGGACACAATCTCGTCGAAACGAATTAGTATTGTCTTTCTTTCATGTGTAACACGTACGAACTTCAATCCCCATCTGTTTTCCAATTATTTTTCATTTTCCTAATTGAAGTAATCTCTCGTATATCGAATTGACACATATCGATAAAAACAGAGAAAGTTTTTTATACAGAACAACAAAATTTTTTTATACAGAAGTTGTAGGCACTGATAGCCTCTACAAAGAAAGATTCTATGC